AAGAGTTTGTTGATTTTCAGAAGACATTTTATTAAATTTAAATTGAAGGATTTTAAAGATTTGTGTGATTAAAAATTGAATGTTTTGAAATTGAATCAAACGATGTAAGAGACCTTTTTAAAAATATTCGTTCGTATGAATACAAGATGTATTTAAAATTTATCACGTCTTGCCAAGATATTTGATAAACCTTAAATGGTAAAATTCTTATCTGTCATATCTTTCAATAACGCCTTGTGTATCCCATGACATTCATCTATTCTTTTTTCATTCATTTGTGTGTTCGATATAGAATAGAAGGCACAAATAAATTCAAGTTTGCTAAACTTTAGATGGCGTGATTTGAAAAAAAAAAAAAAAAGATAATCATAAAAGGTTATCTAATACTTTATAAAGTATAAATGTATCAGGTATCTTAACATTAGAAAGATAAAAATGGAAAAGGAATACATAACTGATTGGTATGGTGGTAAATACGACTGTTATGGGATACTTCATAATCAATTGCGTATCTTTAAAGAAAATGGTGTTGAATATATTGAGGTTAAACTTAATACAAAAAACGTAATGTTTTGTGATCTTGAAGATTATGAACTTATTATTTCACGAACTTGGTGTACAAGACGAGGGTGTGGAGTGTATGCCAAAAAGAGAAAAAATTATATTCATTGTGAAGATTATAATGGGACAGCTTTTCATCGTTTAAAGTATCCAGAGTGGAGGATTGTAACTCACATTAATTGAAATTGATTGGATAATCGTCAATTCAACTTATCCAATATTTATTCATCTTCTGTTAAAAAATGTAAAAAGAATAATATCCCTAATGGTATTTTTGATATGTTATTTTATGACGAATCAAGAGGTGGATGGAAAGTCACGTGGTAGGAAGATAAACAGTAGAAAGATAAACTTTTTATTGGATTAAAAAATAATGATAATATCAAAAATCAAGCCATCCAGTTTAAGAAATCTATTAATGATCAACAGATCATAGTAAAAGATATATGTGAAAAAATTGATGAAGATCATGAATATGAGAGATTATTCGATGAATTCATTCAATATGATGATGTATTATGAATGTATTAATTAATAAAGATGTTATTGTTAACCTTTTAGTATTAGTGTGCGAGTATCTTTAAATATATTTAAGAGAGTATTTTCGTATCTCAGTATAGTTAGATAACATTGATTCGAATTAATCAATTTAATCAACTTGAATTAAATCAAATTTAATTCATTTATTTTTAAATCAAGTCAATACCGCGCTATAAGTGTGGTAAAAAAATAAGTTTATTGAAATAATTTTATATTAATTTATGAATATTGGAATACTCACAATTCAATATTAATTCAAATCATGATTAAATTATTTTTTTTATGATTATGGTAAATAGAATTTTGCGATCTTTTGATTGTTAAGTTATATATATTTATTTATAAGATATATTGATTACAAAATGGACAATTGTTAAATTTAAATATGTTTACATATGTCTCATGAAATTCATCCATTTCTACATTGACATTATAATTCAATAAATTCAAAAGTATTCTTTCGCACTGATTAATATTTTGTAAATTGATACCTAATAAACTAGAGAATTCACTATTTTTAATGGATTTATCATAATTATATTTAAAGGATAGGATAATAGAAGCAATAAACATTGTTCTTCGTCCATTAATAAATAAGATATCATTCACATAGGTATTCTCAGGTAGTGATTTAGAACCATCTACAATTTCTTTAATTCTTGAAATGTAAAGAAGAGCCATCGTAAGAATATTATCGGTACATTTAGTATCTTTCAGGATTTTTCTGACAAGATCATAGATTTCTTGATCTGGATTTTTGTTGAATATTTTACTCAAGAAGATAACGGTTTTAATTGTATAATAATAAATTTCATTTGGATTCCTCTTGTTCGGTTATAAATTTGATATCGTGTTTAGTTCGAATAAGTTTTGGAATAAGTTTCGATTTTTGATCATGTTTTTTTTTTGGGATTTAAGGATACATTCGATGTTGTTTGATACACAATATTGACAAGGTTTATTCGGATCACAACATTTTTTTTTTTTGGCACAGATAATACAAGCGTTGGAGATTCTTGTTATTGTCATTTTATAGAGCACGATAAAAAATCAAGGGAATTTATTTAAAAATTGTGTGATGCAATAATGGAGATAACCATAAAGGTTATCTAATTTTTGTGGTGTATATATATTTAAAGTGTACCGGAAAGATGATAGGTAAGATGCGAATTTATAAGACTGATTGGTATGGTGGTCGACGTAATCGACAAGGTGGTCTTCGTAATCAGATCCGTGAATTTGAAGAAGATAGTCAAAAAATATCTTGAGATTAAACTCAATGATAAACGTGACAGTGTCATGCTTTGTGATGTGAAGAATCATGAAACTGTTATCTCACAAACATGGTACGCAAGAACTAAAGGATTTGGGCTTCGTTATTATTGTATGAATAGATTCAGAAAATCATTTCATCGTGTGTTATGTCCTCGATGGGCCATCATAAGTTACTCTAACCATAACACCTTGGATAATTATCAATTTAATCTGTTTGATGGTTATATTCGTTACAATTCAACCAAAAATTTTTTCGAAACTAATGGTGTATATTATAATAAAACAAGAAAGAGATGGAGAGTTACTTGACAAGAAGATGAAAAAAATAGATGTAAATATTTTCGTGGTTCTAAGAATAATAAGGAGGTTAGGAAACAAGCGATTTGATTTCGAAAGACTATTAATAAACAACGAATTTTGGAAAAAACATGCATAAATAATGACGAAGTTGATAATGGGCAAGTTTCAGTTCAGATGGAAAATCGATCATATAATCAAGTTCGTATTCTAGAAGAAGAAGGTGTGAAATATCTTGAGATTAAACTTAGTGATAAGCATAATCACGTGATGCTCTGTGATATTGAAGATTACAAACTTGTGATCTCTCGTAGATGGTATGCAAAGAGCAAAGTCAAGAGTGAAGACGGGTGTTATCGTTGTGTGGATGGAGATTCTGTGGCATTTCATCGTTTACTATTTCCTCAATGGGCAGTGATCAGTCACATTAATAAAAACCAATTGGATAATCAACAGTTCAATTTATATAATGGTCGTATTCAAGCAAAGACATATGGCAATAATAAATCTGGTTATAATGAAGTATGCTTTGATCGATCAAAGCAAAGGTGGATAGTTACATGGTACAAGAATTGTAAAAGTAAAGTTAGATACTTTCCTGGTACCGAGAGTGATGAAGAATCAAAGAATAAAACAATTCAATTTAGGAAATCAATTGACGCCCAGCAAATTCAAAATACAACATCCGAAGTTGATGACTTAGAGGAAGATGAAATTTACGATTCGAATAAGAATACTGACAAAGATTTTAATGACCATGATTACACTCAAAAGGAAGAAAAATGAGATTTTGAATTTCATGGAATTAGAGGAGGATGACATTGGTATTGATCGTGAAGATTATATCGATCCAGAGGAGGGTTTAAATATCGAATTAATACCAATGAATACTTCAGAACATGTGAATAATCAGGAGTATAATATGGAAGAGGTGTTTGATTTTGAGAAGTTTAATGACGATCAATTTAATGAACAAAGTTGGATTGATCAATTTTTAAATATGTAATCTGATAATAAATTTTATAAATAAAGTTATCATTTTGGCAAAAAGAAATGTTATTTTATGATTTTATTGATCAAATAAAAAGAAGATGTAAATATGCGAAAGAGAATTATATAGAATGAGAGAAAGAGAATTATTTGAATTTTGATTATTATTTTATTATATTTTGCTTTAAATTGATAGAAGGAAATACGTTCATTACTATTAAAATGATTACGATTGATAGAATGATAAGAATTTATCATATTTATCTTAGAAAATTTATATGTGGATGATTTATTTGGTGATAAATAATATGTTTGTATGATAAGATTTGATTGTCGTTTTCTATATTTAGTTTTAAATAACATTCTACAAGTATAAAATCCCATGCTACTTATCTTTGTTTCAAAAAATTACAAAATACGGATACTTGAGCATGACCTTCTCGTGGTGTATCTGGATTTTAACCAACGATGCTCAATTTCCTCCTTACTTCACTTTAAACTTATATAAACCATGGGTGTTTGAGTATAACCTCCTCGTGATGCATCTGGATTTAAACTGATAATGCTCAAATTTATTTCCTTACTTCTTTCTAGAGTTATTTGATTCACGTAAGAAAACTTAAATTTTATTTTATATAAACAATGTTTGTCAGTTGTTTTGTGAAATTTAAAATGACATCATCTGTTATTAAGGGTATGCGTTTCGAGAACTTTATTGAAAAAAAAATCAAGCATATTACTTCATGTAAAATTGTTGGTGGCTCTAATGATCAAGGGATCGATATCGAAGGAGAAATTAATGGTACTCATTTTATAATACAATGTAAAAATTGGTCAAGACCCATAGGTGAGTAATCACTGAATATTATTTCTTGTTGATGGAGCCCTGCTCATATGCTTGGGGGGGTTGTATAGAGTTGAAAGTGCATCAGGTCATACATATAAAATATGGATATTTAATAGATATTTAATATTTTGATGATATGAATGTTCCTTTATACATCTTGATATGAGAATTATTATTCACAGGTTAAATGAATTTTAGGGCCTAGCACTATTCGTGAATTGGAAGGAACTTTATCACAGATGTCAAAGGGTACCATCGGATTTATAGTTATAAACCATGAAAGTTCATTTATTATTTCTGCGATAAGAAGAGTCACCAGATCAAGTTTTAATATTATTTTAATAGATGATTTTAGGGTATGTGATAATTTGATTAGTATTGTAAAGAAAAGATCTTTATTCGTAAAAATTTTAATTTTTATATATTATTTTATAATAATTTTTAATTTTATTTTTAATATATATCATGTTATAATATTTTTAAAAGAAAATGAATATTTTAATAAAAAATAATCATATCGTTGATAAATCTATATATTGTATATTATTTACTTTGTCTGTTACTATTATCGATCTTTTTATCAATATTATTTTTGAAATCAATCACTTCTTCTTTTTTTGTAAAATTTACTTTATGATATTTACCATTTTCCCTCCAAACAAATTGTCATTTACAAATAAATTTATCATAACTTATGCCATTAATACCAGAGGTATTGTTTTTGTATAATCTACAGTTTTTTTGATTTATACCGTTCGATCCATCCCGCAAGTTACATTTTCGATTATCCAATCCATTTCGATTAATATGATCTATACATCTCCATTCAGGGTGCAATAGTCAATGAAAACGAAGAGATTTTTATGCGCATAAGTACATACATAGTAATTGTTTCCATTTTTATGTGTGTACCATGTGTGTTTACGAAGAATTTTATAATTTTTAATATCACAAAACATGGTTTTATCTTGTGTAAGTTTAACTTCAAGATATGCGATACCTTTTTCATCCGATGACTTCTTTGATATGGTTGACGGATCGATGATCATGAGACCAATGAGAATCAAGATCACGATAAA